CTACTAAAATGCCAGGAGCAAAGGGCTATTAACCCCTTCTCTTATATAAATTACTAAATTTTTATTAAATTTAAAAAGAAAGACTTTTGTTTTTTTCAGGTCACCCTGCCTCAATGGGATATGGCTGGTTCATCGAAAAGAGAGGAAAAAAGAGAGAGAGAGAGAGAGAGAGAGAGAGAGAGAGAGAGAGAGAGAGAGAGAGAGAGAGAGAGAGAGAGAGAGAGACAGAGACAGAGACAGAGAGACAGACAGAGAGACAGACAGACAGAGAGACAGACAGACAGAGAGACAGACAGACAGAGAGACAGAGAGAGACAGAGAGAGACAGAGAGACAGAGAGACAGAGAGAGAGAGAGACAGAGAGATGAGACAGAGAGAGAAACAGAGACAGAGAGAGAGAGAGAGAGAGAGAGGAGAGAGAGAGAGACAGAGAGAGACACAGAGAGAGACAGACAGAGAGAGAGACAGAGAGAGAGAGACAGAGAGACAGAGAGAGACAGAGACAGAGAGAGACAGAGACAGAGAGACAGACAGAGAGACAGAGAGAGACAGAGAGAGACAGAGAGAGAGACAGAGAGAGAGAGAGAGAGAGAGAGAGACAGAGACAGAGAGAGACAGAGAGAGACAGAGAGAGAGAGACAGAGAGAGACAGAGAGAGAGAGACAGAGAGAGAGAGACAGAGAGAGAGAGAGACAGAGAGAGAGAGACAGAGAACCAACATGGGTATAGAAATATTAAATCCTGCTTCTGGAATCTACCAGAAATCTATGAGAAGATGACAAAATTGAAACAGTTGAGGATCGGGAAAGGGCAAGAAAAATTAAAGGGATGCAACTAAACTAGTCTTTGAGGTGAGGGACATGAGTTAAAAAGAAAGCCTTAAAGCTGTGCCAAACATCACTACAAGAGGTAGACAGCAGGAAAATTGTGATAACATCACAGAAGCTAGTTGGGGACATCAATGGACTGGGATGTAAGAGACCAGGAGACAAAGAAACTAAACAACCAAATAAACCATTGGGATGTTTGGAAATATTTCCTCAGTGTAAGAGTGGTAAAAGAAATTGGACAAGTTTGATGAACAGGTAACACACACAAACTCTATACTATTTCAAGAGTAGACTTAACAGGTCCCAAGTAGATATAATTGTAGGTTCAGAAACAGAAGCCAAGGCCTGAAACCTTACTCATGAAGTCATGAATTATAGTATTCTTCTTTCAACAAACCAGCCATATTTATTATTATAATCAAAAAGAAGCGCTAAACCACAAGGGCTATACAGCGCTGCAGGGCAGGGAAGGAAGCGAGGGTATTGGGCGGCAGAAGGGGGAAGGAATGATTAGTAGGTTACAGAAAACAGCGGAGCAGGGGATAGTGTGAAAGTTTCTCCCTTTAAATTTGTAATCCCTTGCTCCCTTCAAGTATAAATCCTCTTTCAACAAACTGGTGACCCAAACATAAAAACAAAAGTTTCTCCTTTTAACTTTACAAGAGAAGCCCTCCTTTCAGGTATAAATCTTTCTTTCAGGTATAAATATAGGAGCTAATTCATAGCAGTCAATTAAAAGTGAAAGGGTAAAATGTACTCCAGAGTTGAAACTTGCTCCTCTGGATGCTCCAATAAGTAACTACAAATCTTATGGGCTGTCAGTTAATATGACTGAAGTGTATTAGACTATATTAATGCTTTTGAAAAAGTGCAGAAAAAAAAAAGTTATGAAATACAAAAATTATTTCTATTATGCTCAGTAAATTTAAAAATATTAAGTACAATACAGTATCTTATCAAGCTCCTATATATAGTGTGATTAATTTTTTGTAAAAAAGACTGAAAAAGTACACTGCATTCAAAATTAAATGCTTATGTTTTCTAAATCTGTTCACCAAGCCTTGAACGGTGCCCTTACGGAACACCCTCCAGGAAGATCATTCTTGCTTAGCAAGTCGTGTTAACCAGACAGCATTATTCTTCAAATGTTATCAGAAATTTATATAATTCATGAATGCCTAATTTAAACAAATCAGGTTAGTAACCCTGTATCATATATTATCATAATTACACATTCCAGTGCCTTTAACACTCATGTACCTACTCTAGCTGAATTTCTACATTTGTTGAATATACTGTCAGCTGATAAAAAGATTGAGTGTCTGAACAAGGAAGTTACAATGGAGGTATAGTAAACATCTTCAATGATGCTCTCTTTAACGCTTGACTACCCAAACACATTACATACTGTAGAGATTAACCTAGACCTTGCCAGGTAAGGTAGAGTGTTGTTCATTTGGCTAAACAAATAAGCACAAATGTATGGACAAGTCTCCTGCTGGCTGCTACCTATTATGTTATCAAATTATCAACATAGTAGACTCTGTCTTCACTTCAGAAAACATATGGTATTAGTTTCTCTTCCACTAAATACAACAATGGCTCCTCAGGCATAGCTCATACAAAATGAAAATTATGCAGACAATTAAAATATGTATTAAAAAGTGAGCTATACAAATCTGTAATTTCACAAAATAACTGGGTGCAAAATTCAGGGTCACCAGTTCTCACTAAATTTCCTTACATTTTAAATACCTGCAGCAGATTCCAGGGGTCTTTGCTCTCCCTCCTGGAATTTACCCTATCTTTCTCAAGTGCACTTATCTTCAGTTTATGTTAGCTTCGTATGGGTCTATTGAGTTCCTATATGTTTGGTAGAATTTAGTAAGGAAATGTGACAATTTTACAGATGTTCACACGTTAAGTGTTTCAATACAGCATAAGCTACCTGTAGTCCTATATCTCTCAAGATAAAAAAAGGCAACTGATGCTGTTTCCTACATGTATATGGATGATAAACCTTGCTACATCCAAATTTTGTCCAGCAGACCCACATTAACCCTCCCCATACTCTTTAAATGCTTCAAGTGATGACTAACAGAATGTAAGATAAGATAAACTGTGTTATTTCTCACTTGGAAGGATTTGTTTAACAAATTCAGAGGTATCTGGAATCTAAACCTATTTTGCCCATATGCTCTTCACATCAATAGATTAGACACTGATTTTTTCATGAATATAACCCATGCTTTAATTAACAGTTTGCTGTTATTACAAAAGATATTTGGGGTTATTGAGAGAGTAGACAAGGAAAGGCTTTAGCATGAGGGAATCATAGCTATATCTTGTAATCTTATACAAGCCTGAGTATAGCTAAGAGGAACTCCACAAGGACTGATAATGAACCCAATATTGTTCTTAATGTATTAATGACCAGCTAATAGAGGCAGATTCCTATAAACCCATGTCTGCATTTAATGCTTTAATAATGAGAATACCAATGGAGGAGAGTAGAACTTTGTATAATAACCTGGGCAGACTATAAGATAGGTCAAACAAGAGGTTGCTGGAGTTCAACCCTAATAAAAACATACAATAATAATGAATATGCAAGATGGGGAAGGGAGCCCAGAAACAGAGCATAATGTTCAGGAGAAAGATTAAAAAAAAAAAAAAAAAAAAAAAAAAAAAAAAAAAAAAAAAAAAAAAAAAAAAAAAAAAAAATCATCATCTATGCACAACTGTTACTGCAACCTAGTTTCTGTACGTTCACTGAGAATAAAATCAAAAGTACATACAGACAAACAAAATGGGCATGAAGAAACCTAGACAGGGACTCTTTCAAGACACACTTGAGTAAGCAGTACCAGTGTGGAACTCAAAATCAAAATGAGTGTACATTGACTGGTGCCTAAGCTGTGGGAAAATAAGGTTGAGTAAAGATTGCAAGATCTGCCTTCTGTCTCTGGAAGATCAAAGAAGAGGGAACATGATCACAACATACAATATATTCTAGGGCATACACAAGGAAAGGATCTCAACAGAAGAAAATAGAAAAAAAGCTTTCGTGGAAGACAGCCCCAAGAACATCCAGAAACAATTTCAACTTAAGTGCATTAAAGAATGGAATGACCTAGATAGTTATACCTTGAAAGCAGATTCCATATGGGGGTTCAAAAGTAAATATGACATGGCTAAGTCATGAGGCAAAGAGATATTGTAATCCTTACAGTGCTCCATGACCCATAGGGGCTTAGTGTTTCTTTGATAACATAATAACAATCACTGCATACTCAGATACTGCAGGGAATTACACAAATTTAAAATAAGACTCTGCTCTTCAATACTTATGAAAAATTTCCACACAAGGTTGCTCCACAGTGAGTTATTCCAAAGTATATGAATGGAAAAAAAAATCATAGTATTCACATTAAAATGTCAAAAGTCATAATTGATTCAATGATGTAGAGCAGTTTAAATGTGCACTGCCTAGGCATTTATGTCACAATGACCCATATAGATTTACATGACATTCTTGTAAATATAACAACTGCCCAGTTTTAAACATTCATTTTTTTTTAAACAGATAGATTCATGTGGTTTATTTCTAAACTTCAACATTTGCCAATGGGTATGCATTAACATCCACAGAGGTACATGATAACAATGATTTTATAATTTAGAAGGTAGTTGCCTATTAGTGGCAAGTATAAAACAAAATCCATTTACAAATACTGTACACATCTTCACATCCATGGGCACGGCAGAACAGGGCCAAAAATCAACTGTGTCCCTCAAGCTATAAATGATATGTCCAAAAATTAAATAGATAGTGGTGAGAGGGCACCAGCTGTGCAAAATGTTTTCTCAGAGTACTGAGATACCTTGTACTGACATCATAAGAGGACAAAATATATTACAAAGTTATTGTACAAACCAAGCAATCAATAAAATAATAGCTTGGATAACCATGAAACAAAGAATAACTTCAAAGTGGCTATTCAACCTTCAAAAATAATTAAAAAAAATTTACAATCAAAAAAATCTATCTAATGTTGCAAAAGTTACACCTGAACTAAAAAAAATTAATAGTTTACCATTTTCACAATGAAGACATGTGTTAGTGCCCAAAACCCTGGTTCAGTAATGTAGAAAACATATACATTAACAATTAGTAAGTTTCTAACCACCCTAATGTCTTCCTCATGACCTGACACACACAGGCAGGAGAACTTTGATGTAAGTTAATCATTAACTACATTATGACTGCAATTTACAAAACACAGAAGACCTGCCTGGTGCTGGAGGACTAATGAACAAAATATATTACAAACTAATTACAAAAGATTGAAATTCCAATAAGAAAAAATAATGAGCACTGGTTGTATACTGCTAGGTTTCCACTAGACTTGAAGTAGCTTGTGTAAAAATTGACACACGTACACTTTCTTCATTAAATGCATAACATTCCTGGACATGTGCCTGAGCTCTAGCTTTCTAAATGTGCATAAATATACAGTGTGGTAAAAATTCTTAAGATAAAAGTATAGCATGAAAAAATAATTCAATCATCAGTTCCCTTTTAGGGACCATATAAGATTAACAACTATAAAGGACGAAACACTTTGATTACCAGCAAATAAAAATTATAATTGCAGACTGCAATTTGATTATCAGCACAACAATTGAAACATTATTTTACAACAAATATTTTCCAAATGTTGCACTACGGTAATACTGTATAAGCAATAAATGCTGGATTTTTTCAACTGATATACTGGTTTCAAAAATACTACATAAAAAAAATATATATGTTTTAGGAAATTAATGCATATATGAAAGAAGTTGAATGACCTAATAACACAAGATGTCCTGAAAGTGGTGCACCCACTATACAATATCTAAAAGTTATAACCTGTCAGTATTCATTTCCATTATCCAGCACCTAAATTATAACTTGGTCAATCATTTTCTCTGGTAAACTGGGTGTCATACCACTTACAACAGCTTCTCAGGAAGTAACTCTGATAGGCAAGCTTCAGTATCCAACAATATTTGAACTTTTTACTAATTCAAAAAAATTTGTCATTATGCCTTCATAAAGAAGGTGACTACTATACATACAAAATTATCAATAACTTATAACCAGTAAATTAGATAATGCTGTCACAGAGGCACTTGTTGATATACAAATAATAATTCTGAGATGGTGGATACTAAGCCTTGCCATAAACATTGCCGTACTACCCAAGTGCTTCAAAAATTATGAGCAGGATGCAACACTAAAAGCAATGCTTCTCATTCAAAGTTTGTGTTGAACATGTTTAGGTCATCAAAGTTTGTAGTGCCAGACTGGTCAAGAATTTGCAACATGTCAGTAAGTTCTGGTTGTGTTCCTGGTGCTCCTCCACCTTGATGACCAGTGCCAGTGCCTGGATGAACTGAGCTAGTGGATGGCCCTACACTTGCTCCCTCTGCACCTAGGTTGCTATACTGCCACATTCCTATGAAAAGAATTTTCCAGTTACTTATGGGTTTTACATTTAATATTTTTATTTTAACACACAGTGTCTTCTACTGAGGTAGGGTGACCCAAAAAAAAGAAACAATTTCACCATCATTCACTACATACAACTGTCTTACCAGAGGTTCACTAACACTACAGTTTAAATGTTCCCCCCCTTCCCAAACTGCAAGCATCCCCAACCCACAAACTGCAAATATCCCCACCCCTCCTTCAGTGTGAAGGACTGAAGTCCAGTAGCTGGTTTCAACCTGAATCCATTCATACACGTTACCTTTTTTCACACTCCAAAAGCACATCAAGTCATAAAAAACCACTTGCCTTCACTCACTCCCATCTAAAATGCTTGTACACATATTAGATGTCCAAGCCCCTCACATATAAAACCTCCTTTACCGCCTCCCTCCAACCTTTTCTATGACGGCCTTTACCCCTCCTTCCTCCACTACAGATTTATACATACTCCACAGATGCCTCAACTTGTCACTCACCTTTTTTTTACCCTTGTCAAATCTACAGTTCACCTCGTAAGTTATTATTTATTATTTTTATTATCACACCGGCCGATTCCCACCAAGGCAGGGTGGCCCGAAAAAGAAAAACTTTCACCATCATTCACTCCATCACTGTCTTGCCAGAAGGGTGCTTTACACTACAGTTTTTAAACTGCAACATTAACACCCCCCCTTCAGAGTGCGGCACTGTCTCCCATCCCCAGGACTCAAGTCCGGCCTGCCGGGTTTTCCCTGAATCCCTTCATAAATGTTACTTTGCTCACACCCACAGCCGTCAAGTATTAAAAACCATTTGTCTCCATTCCTCTTTTCAAACAGCTCACGATGCCTGCTGGAAGTCCAAGCCCCTCGCACACAAAACCCCCTTTACCCCTCCCTCCAACCCTCCTGGGCCCGACCCCTACCCCCCTTCCTCCCTACAGACTGATACCACTCTTGAAGTCATTCGTTTCGCTCCATTCTCTCTACATGTCCGAACCACCAACCCCTTCCTCAGCCCTCTGGACAACTGTTTTGGTAATTCCCGCACCTCCTCCTAACTTCCAAATACAAATTCTCTGCATTTTTATTCACACCACACATTGCCCTCAGACATGACATCTCCACTGCCTCCAGCCTTCTCCTCGCTGCAACATTCATACCCACGCTTCACACCCATTAAGAGCGTTGGTAAAACTATTACTCTCATACATTCCCCTCTTTGCCTCCAAGGACAAAGTTCTTTGTCTCCACGACTCCTAAGTGCACCACTCACTCTTTTTTCCCCCATCAATTCTATGATTCACCTCATCTTTCATAGACCCCTTGCTGACACGTCCACTCCCAATATCTGAATACGTTAACCCCCTCCATTACTCTCTCCCCCCAATCTGATATTTTAATCTTTCATCACCTAATCTTTTTGTTTCCTCAAACCCTTTCTCTTTCCTGTATTCACCTTTAATTTTTTTCTTTTGCACACCCTACCAAATTCATCCACCAATCTCTGCAATTCTCTTCAGAATCTCCCCAAAAGCACGTGTCATCAGCAAAGAGCAGCTGTGACAACTCCCACTTTGTTTTGTGATTCTTTATCTTTTAACTCCACGCCTCTTGCCAAGACCCTCGCATTTACTTCTCTTTCAAAACCCCCTTTTATAATATATTAAACAACCACGGGGGACATCACACATCCTTGTCTAAGGCCTTTCTTTTTTACTGGGAAAAAATTTCCTCTTTCCTACATACTCTAACTTGAGCCCCACTATCCTCGTAAAAACTCTTCACTGCTTTCAGTAACCTACCTCCTACACCATACACTTGCAACATCTGCCACATTGCCCCCCTATCCCCCTGTCATACGCCTTTTCCAAATCATAATGCCACAAAGACCTCTTTAGCCTTATCTAAAATACTGTTCACTTATATGTTTCACTGTAAACACCTGGTCCACACACCCCTACCCTTTTTTAAAGCCTCCTTGTTCATCTGCTATCCTATTCTCCGTCTTACTCTTAATTCTTTCAATTTAACTTACCATACACTTTACCAGGTTTCAATCAACAGACTTATCCCCTATTTTTTTTGCACTCTTTTTATCCCCTTTGCCTTTATACAAAGGAATATGCATGCTCTCTGCCAATCCCTAGGTACCTTACCTTCTTCCATACATTTATTAAATAATTGCACCAACCACTCCAAAAACTATATCCCCCCCTGCTTTTAACATTTCTATCTTTATCCCATCAATCCCGGCTGCCTTACCCCTTTCATTTTACCTACTGCCTCACGAACTTCCCCCACACTCACAACTGGCTCTTCCTCACTCCTACAAAGATGTTATTCCTCCTTGCCCTATACAGAAATCACAGCTTCCCTATCTTCATCAACATTTAACAATTCCTCAAATATTCCTTCCATCTTCCCAATACCTCTAACTCTCCATTTAATAACTCTCCTCTCCTATTTTTAACTGACAAATCCATTTGTTCTCTAGGCTTTCTTAACTTGTTAATCTCACTCCAAAACTTTTTCTTATTTTCAACAAAATTTGTTGATAACATCTCACCCACTCTCTCATTTGCTCTCTTTTTACATTGCTTCACCACTCTCTTAACTTCTCTCTTTTTCTCCATATACTCTTCCCTCCTTGCATCACTTCTACTTTGTAAAAACTTCTCATATGCTAACTTTTTCTCCCTTACTACTCTCTTTACATCATCATTCCACCAATCGCTCCTCTTCCCTCCTGCACCACTTTCCTGTAACCACAAACTTCTGCTGAACACTCTAACACTACATTTTTAAACTACCCCATACCTCTTCGACCCCATTGCCTATGCTCTCATTAGCCCATCTATCCTCCAATAGCTGTTTATATCTTACCCTAACTGCCTCCTCTTTTAGTTTATAAACCTTCACCTCTCTCTTCCCTGATGCTTCTATTCTCCTTGTGTCCATCTACCTTTTACTCTCAGTGTGAGCTACAACTAGAAAGTGATCTGATATATCTGTGGCCCCTCTATAAAACATGTACATCCTGAAGTCTACTCAACAGTCTTTTATCTACCAATACATAATCCAACAAACTACTGTCATTTCGCCCTACATCATATCGTGTATACTTATTTATCCTCTTTTTCTTAAAATATGTATTACCTATAACTAAACCCCTTCTATACAAGTTCAATCAAAGGGCTCCCATTATCATTTACACCTGGCACCCCAAACTTACCTACCACACCCTCTCTAAAAGTTTCTCCTACTTTAGCATTCAAGTCCCCTACCACAATTACTCTCTCACTTGGTTCAAAGGCTCCTATACATTCACTTAACATCTCCCAAAATCTCTCTCTCTCCTCTGCATTCCTCTCTTCTCCAGGTGCATACACGCTTATTATGACCCACTTCTCGCATCCAACCTTTACTTTAATCCACATAATTCTTGAATTTACACATTCATATTCTCTTTTCTCCTTCCAATAACTGATCATTAACATTACTGCTACCCCTTCCTTTGCTCTAACTCTCTCAGATACTCCAGATTTAATCCCATTTATTTCCCCCCACTGAAACTCTCTACCCCTTCAGCTTTGTTTCGCTTAGGGCCAGGACATCCAACTTCTTTTCATTCATAACATCAGCAATCATCTGTTTCTTGTCATCCGCACTACATCACGCACATTTAAGCAACCCAGTTTTATAAGTTTTTCTTCTTCTCTTTTTTAGTAATTGTATACAGGAGAAGGGTTACTAGCCCATTGCTCCCGGCATTTTAGTCGCTCATACGACACGCATGGCTTACGGAGGAAAGATTCTTTTCCACTTCCCCATGGACAATAGAAGAAATAAAAAAGAACAAGAGCTATTTAGAAAAAGGAGAAAAACCTAGATGTATGTATATATATATATGCATGTGCGTGTCTGTGAAGTGTGACCAAAGTGTAAGTAGGAGTAGCAAGATATCCCTGTTATCTTAGCGTGTTTATGAGACAGAAAAAGAAACCAGCAATCCTACCATCATGCAAAACAGTTACAGGTTTTTGTTTCACAGTCATCTGGCAGGACGGTAGTACTTCCCTGGGTGGTTGCTGTCTACCAACCTACTACCTACTACCTACTACCTACTACCTCGTAAGTATCTATCATTATCATATTAGTTGTACTTATTTTAAGTCCTGAATGGGATAAAGAAAATGACCTATTGAAGAAATATACAATATCAGTAGTATACTAAACAAGGTTTCCTCACTTCTAATATTTCAAAATAAAAATAACCAACATCAAAACTATTTAATTTCTACAGCACATGAAGATATCTGCTATTAGCAGATATAGATGCTATTAGCAATGTAGATGCTACAATATGTTAACCCTATGAATGTTCCTTCCTTGAAGGAGTGGCCTTAAAGTCTCTCTCATTATTTTATTATATTTAAGGGGAAGTGCTAAACCCATAGAGGTCATACAGCACTAGGGAATAGGAGTCAATCAGATTTGATTCAAGGGTAGGACTCTTAGGAAAGCATCCTGCAGTGTGTGTGTGGCACCCCTCCAAGAGAGAGAAGGCTGTTCACTACTACTTTTAGTGTTCTGTGTGTTAGGAGCCCGAAAATCCATCTGCCTACCTTCCCCGTAACGCCCATGGCCTTCATTTTGTGCGCTATCACTCCATGATTCAATTTGTCAAACACCTTTGCAAAATCTGTGTAAATCACATCTGCATTTTGGTCGTCTTCCAATGCCTCCGTAATTATGTCATAATGGTTCAGCAGCTGTGACAGGCATGATCGTCCTGTTCTAAAACCATGCTGGTTCCAGTTATGTTTGTTGTGCTGCTCCATACAGTACACTACTGTATAAACAATTAAAAATACAGTGGAACCTTGGTTTTCATGATTAATTCATTCCAGAAAGTTTGACGAAAACGAATTCGACAAAAACTGAAGAAATATTTCCCATAAGACAATGTAAATCCAATTAATCTGTTCCAGACACCCAAAAGTATAGTTTTACATACAGAAAACAATAAGAAATAAAGGACAAATGAAATGGATAAATGAACATTTAACATCACTTTCACCTTTACTGAATACTCTTGTTGGCGTACGGAAGATGGCGAGGAGGCGAGAGGGAGGAGAAGTTATTGTTTGGAAGGGTGATCTCCTTCCATAAGAACTTCAGGTATCAAGTTCCTATCCGGGGTTACTTCCCTTCTTTGTCTTTTACTGGCACTAGGACCAGCTTGAGAGTCACTGTTCCCGTGTCGCACAAAAATTCTGTCCAGAGAGGTCTGTTTCTGGGGTCTCTTTATGATTTGCCTAAACTGGGACTTGGCACTGTCATTGAACATGTTGCAGACACGGCTTGCAAAAGCTTTGTTAAGGTGATATTTCTCCACGAAACTTTGAAACTCACTCCACTTTGCACACATGTCCTTAATCACTGAAGACGGCACATTCTCCCCTCTCTCTTCCTCCTCATACACTGAAGCAATTCTATCATGTTTCTCGCCGTCTTGATCAGAGGGCTGGTACTCGGAACTTTCTTTTGTCCTTTATTTCTCATTGTTTTCTGTATGTAAAACTATACTTTTGGGTGTCTGGAACGGATTAATTGGATTTACATTATTTCTTATGGGAAATATTGCTTCAGTTTTTGTCGAATTCGTTTTCGTCAAACTTTCTGGAATGAATTAATCATGAAAACCAAGGTTCCACTGTATTTTTAATTGTTTATACAGTAGTGTACTGTATGGAGTAGCACAACCAACATAACCAGAACCAGCATGGTTTTAGAACAGGACGATCATGACTGTCACAGCTGCTTTCCATTATGACATAATTATGGAGGCAGTGGAAGACGACCAAAATCGCAGATGCGATTTACACAGATTTTGCAAAGGTGTGTGACAAATTGAATCATGGAGTGATAGCGCACAAAATGAAGGCCATGGGCATTACGGGGAAGGTAGGCAGATGGATTTTCAGGCTCCTAACACACAGAACACTAAAAGTAGTAGTGAACAGGGCAAGATCCAGCATCAGTGAGGTCAAAAGCTCAGTGCCCCAAGGCACTGTCCTGGCACCTCTGCTGTTTCTCATCCTCATAGCAGACATAGACTGAATACTCTTGTTGGCATATGGAAGATGGCGAGGAGGCGAGAGGGAGGAGAAGTTATTGTTTGGAAGGGGGATCTCCTTCCATAAGAACTTCAGGTATCAAGTCCCTATCCGGGGTTACTTCCCCTTTGTCTTTTACTGGCACTAGGACCAGCTTGAGAATCACTGTACCCCTGTCAACAAAAATTCTGTCCAGAGAGGTCTGTTTCTGGGGTCTCTTTATGATTTGCCTAAACTGGGACATGGCACTATCATTGAACATGTTGCAGACACGGTTTGCAAAAGCTTTGTTAAGGTGATATTTCTCCACAAAACTTTGCAACTCATTCCACTTTGCACACATGTCCTTAATCACTGAAGAAGGCACATTCTCCCCTCTCTCTTCCTCCTCGTACTCTGAAGCAATTCTATCGTGTTTCTCGCCTTCTTTATCAAAGAGCTGGCACTCGGAACTTTCTTTGACCCCATGGTGGCTTATTTAGCCATCACACCCAATAAACAAGCACAAAAAACAATAGATTATTACGAAAACGAAATGTTTCATATGAACATGCAGGGTAATGTTCACTCGACAAGAAACAAAGCCAGACTGACTCAGAATGCGTGTGTGGGATGCTTTGTGTGGGCACAGGCAAGCGGACAAGATTGGTACAGCAGATGAAAACTGAGGTGATGAACGAAAGCTGGGACAAAATTTCGATGAAAAATGTCGTTGAAAACCGAATTCGATGAAAACCAGGGCAAACGAAAATCGAGGTTCCATTGTATACTAAAAATGTTATAATTGGTGCAAGGGTGACATTAAAGCAATATTAAAGATGGTTGACATAAACCCATTACCATTACAGTATGCTCCTCGTTGAGCAACGAATTCGTTTACCGACATGGTATTAGGAACAGAACTCTGTTGTTAAGTGAGGAGAGGCTGTATACATTATTTAGGTATGCATACTGGTCAGAGAGCCCGTCATAAGTCAGAGTCATCGGTGAATGAGAGCGTCGCTAAGTGAGGAGAGGCTGTAGTTACATGGCATGCCTAAGTGGACACTGCAATTTTTGCTACCTCTGCACATAATATATCTGAGTAGGTTTTAACCAACTGGGGTTGTTCTGCAAAAAAAAATTAATGGCATAAAGAACATATTTTACCTGAGGAGGCAGCAGTTGGAGTGTATGATGGTAGGGAGCGACTTGAAGAACTTAGTGAAGTATATGATGGGGTAGATGGAGATCGTGATGGACTCATGCTGCTAGTATAGTTATATCCCTCAGCCTGTAAATAGAGTATCACTTTTAAATGAGCAATGCAATACAAATGATGTTGTAAACAAAGAGATGAAAATAATTGTATATACAGTATCATAAACAAGTTTTCATTTATGCTAAACAGTATAAAACCAGCATCACTTCAAAACGACAAAGTATTTATTCAGTGCTCCTTTGGAAGTTTCTCCTCTTAGAGCTACAAGCAAAACTGGCAATCAGCTATATACAATTAATATTAAAGGAACTGGGCAATTCTAGTAATAAAAAGTACCACTAAACTAAATTTAAGACAGCTAAAGATTGGCAAGATGTACCTGTCTTATATGTGGATTAGACCATGTTGTGGCATGTGCAGTCGTAGGTGGTGAGGATGACTTTGTGATTCGTGAAATACTTGATGCTTGACTTGTAAGGGGTGTAGCCTGTGGAGTGCTCGGAGAATAACTAGCCAAAGGCGAGGCACCTGCTTCATACCCGCTATACACCCCCTGAGTACTACTTGGGCGTCCTGAATCTGTAGATGGGAAAACAAAGAACAGATTTTTAAAAATCTGAAAATTCAAAAGGTCATGAGACTCTGCATTTTTGTCCAATTCAGTTATGTTTCCCATAGAAGTAGCTCTTCCAATTTTTTTTTTATTTTTATTATCACACTGGCCGATTCCCACCAAGGCAGGGTGGCCCGAAAAAGAAAAACTTTCACCATCATTCACTCCATCACTGTCTTGCCAGAAGGGTGCTTTACACTACAGTTTTTAAACTGTAACATTAACACCCCTCCTTCAGAGTGCAGGCACTGTACTTCCCATCTCCAGAACTCAAGTCCGGCCTGCCGGTTTCCCTGAATCCCTTCATAAATGTTACTTTGCTCACACTCCAACAGCACGTCAAGTATTAAAAACCATTTGTCTCCATTCACTCCTATCAAACACGCTCATGCATGCCTGCTGGAAGTCCAAGCCCCTCGCACACAAAACCTCCTTTACCCCCTCCCTCCAACCTTTCCTAGGCTGACCCCTACCTCGCCTTCCTTCCACTACAGACTGATACACTCTTGAAGTCATTCTGTTTCGCTCCATTCTCTCTACATGTCCGAACCACCTCAACAACCCTTCCTCAGCCCTCTGGACAACAGTTTTGGTAATCCCGCACCTCCTCCTAACTTCCAAACTACGAATTCTCTGCATTATATTCACACCACACATTGCCCTCAGACATGACATCTCCACTGCCTCTAGCCTTCTCCTCGCTGCAACATTCATCACCCACGCTTCACACCCATATAAGAGCGTTGGTAAAACTATACTCTCATACATTCCCCTCTTTGCTTCCAAGGACAAAGTTCTTTGTCTCCACAGACTCCTAAGTGCACCACTCACTCTTTTTCCCTCATCAATTCTATGATTCACCTCATCTTTCATAGACCCATCCGCTGACACGTCCACTCCCAAATATCTGAATACGTTCACCTCCTCCATACTCTCTCCCTCCAATCTGATATCCAATCTTTCATCACCTAATCTTTTTGTTATCCTCATAACCTTACTCTTTCCTGTATTCACCTTTAATTTTCTTCTTTTGCACACCCTACCAAATTCATCCACCAATCTCTGCAACTTCTCTTCAGAATCTCCCAAGAGCACAGTGTCATCAGCAAAGAGCAGCTGTGACAACTCCCACTTTGTGTGTGATTCTTTATCTTTTAACTCCACGCCTCTTGCCAAGACCCTCGCATTTACTTCTCTTACAACCCCATCTATAAATATATTAAACAACCACGGTGACATCACACATCCTTGTCTAAGGCCTACTTTTACTGGGAAAAAATTTCCCTCTTTCCTACATACTCTAACTTGAGCCTCACTATCCTCGTAAAAACTCTTCACTGCAAAATTATCATGATGAATTTTATCTTAAAATTAAATTGTACAGTGAACCCTCTCATTAACAGTCTAATAGAGGGTAGGGGTCTATGATATTATTGATAATCCAAAACTTCCAAATTACAAAATCAATTTTTTATGAACATCTGGTTGCCTTCTGAAAGAGAAGACTTGGTCCGCTGATGAAGATAACTGTACACTAAAAATACAGGTATTGTAACCTGTAATGCGGAATAGTACTGTACTGTTGTATGTAATTTACAGTCATTTTACTTACCTTTCGTAGTGGAGGGATGGGGTATAAACTGCAGTGATCAATAATAGTGACTCAGAATAGCTTTTATCCTGAATCAAAGGATTTGTAACACTCTACTAGCATCTATACTAAACTTAAGAACAAAATCTGTAAGTCTGTCCTTGCTTTTACAGATATCACTGTTTCTTAACACTGTATTCCTCACATACCCATGCCAAAGAGATGCCAGACTCAACCATTTTTTTTATTTCAAGTTTCTGCTTAACGCTGAGAACCACACATTCTCTTGACACCATCACTTGCGTTAGAAGCCATTGCTAATTCCACTTTACTTAACATGTTAATATAATCATACAATGTGCTCTAAATCCAGGGAAAATTAGTGACTGAATAGTATGTGTAAGTTAGCAAACAATAAACCAGCAATGGTGGCCTAGGCCTCAAAGAACAATGAAAATAGACCAGTTGTGGATGTGGTCACTCTAGCATGTAATGGACAAATGTCAGTGTAACTAGGCATGGTTCAATACTCCAGAAAACAACTGGATGCTATCACTATGGACAAAATCCAAAACTATGGACTTCTGTCCATTTTATCTGATACTTCCTGTTTGTCCAGAAAATTTTTTAGTCTGAAATTACTGAAATCTGTTGATAAGGTTTTTCCAACGAGATTCCTCCAGGTGCTGCTGAATGTAGGTTAAGGTTTAAAGGCCAAATTTTACAGAAAAAAACAAGTGTTACTCTTACGTTTTCAGTATTTTTTTTTTTTTTTTGGCAAGTTTTAGTTAGAATATTTCTTGCATCAAACACATCTGATTCCATTTAAAATCAGTAAAAACTAAGGTAGATCTGTGCATGAGATAAAGTACATGAAAATTAGAACTGTTTGGTAACAAAGTCAGAGACAACCCCTGCACACCATCAGGTTATACTTGAGTATGCACGGTACATATAAAAATATCATTAGTAGCACTCTTATCAACAAACAACACAAAAAATCTAGGCCTCTTCAATATCTGCCTATTATTTTCTTTACTAGGTTTGTCAATTATTCCTGTACACTTGTAATGATAAGGAAGTTGAATTTAAATTAAGTGAAATACATACTGGTATATACAGTACTGTATATCAGCTTCATTTTCACAGGAATTAGTTCATACCCTATATAACATTCAAGAAATCCTTTGCACAACAAAAATTTGCATTTACAAATGCTTCTTTCTTTCTTTCAACACACCGGCCGTATCCCACCGAGGCGGGGTGGCCCAAAAGGAAAAACGAAAGTTTCTCCTTTTACATTTAGTAATATATACAGGAGAAGAGGTTACTAGCCCCTTGCTCCCGGCATTTTAGTTGCCTCTTACAACACGCATGGCTTACGGAGGAAGAATTCTGTTCCACTTCCCCATGGAGATAAGAGGAAATAAACAAGAATAAGAACTAGAAAGAAAATAGAAGAAAACCCAGAGGGGTGTGTATATATGTGCTTGTACATGTATGTGTAGTGTGACCTAAGTGTAAGTAGAAGTAGCAAGACGTACCTGAAATCTTGCATGTTCATGAGACAGAAAAAAGGACACCAGCAATCCTACCATCATGTAAAACAATTACAGGCTTTCGTTTTACACTCACTTGGCAGGACGGTAGTACCTCCCTGGGCGGTTGCTGTCTACCAACCTACTACCTAGGATTTACAAATACATTATGAACAATTAAATGTGGTTAAATTGTATTAATGTGACTGATTGAGGCTCTTGCTCTCCTATGTAACCAGCTCTCATATAAGAATATCAGTATTATGCTTGCTACCTTCCAGTCCTCTGCAGGCCTGCACCACTATTCCAAACCCTTCACCAAACCAAACACAAGAATGAAACTTGAGAAAGTGGAGAGCCATGCTGTGCCAAATTTATGAGGTTTGAACTACAAGGAAGGACAAAATCTGGTTGAATGACCAGAGTAATCCAGAATAAAGGCAATATGATCACAATATGCAAAATGTTTAGAAGGGAAAAGCATTTGATCAACGTATGAATGGCACAAAGAAAGAACAAGCCAAACAATGAGTAAAAGTGGATTCCACAAAGGAGTTCAAATGTAAACACAACAGAGCTGATTTTGAGAGGCTGGGCTGAAAGTTAAAGCCCAGCCTCTGTAAATTTAAATGGGCAATTACAATGTCAGCTGAAATATTTAAGTCATGGTTAAAGTCTATGTTAAATAAAAAGTTAAAAAATATTTCATCAGAAAATAAGGTTAAATATTTAAGGTTTGATTACAGGCATTTACTTACTGTGGATGTGAGATTGGATCATGTGTGGATACAGTTCACGTTGCCGCTGCAAGGAATACTCTATGCTAGGCTGGTGTGTTGAGTACTGACTGTTTAAAGAGCTAACTTCTTCTTGTTCAGCGCTACTAGGCATTTCACTTGTACCTTGCATAGTCCTGAAAGAAGAGAATTTTGACAGCTTTAAATAATTTATTTATTCTTTTCAACATGTCAGCCATCTCTCACCATGGCAGTTTTTCAAACATTTGCAACCTCACTCACTGACCTACCTCACTCACTGATCTATCTTACTTATTGACCTGCATCACTCACTGACCTACCTCATTAACTGAAGTACCTCACTCACTGACCTACCTTACTCAATGACCTATCTTGCTCACTGACCTACCTCACTTGCTGACCTATCTTGCTCACTGACCTATCTTGCTCACTGACCTATCTTGCTCACTGACCTACCTCACTCACTGATCTACCCTGTCACATGCTACTCAGTCTAAATTTCCTTGTATAATTAATATTTTATTTTTATTATTAACATATCGGCCATTTCCCACCAAGGCAGGGTGTCCCAAAAAATAAAAACTTTCATCATCATTCACTCCATCACTGTCTTGCCAGAGGCATGCCCAAACTACAGCTATAAAACTGCAACATTAACACCCCTCCTTCAGAGTGCCAGCACTGTACTTCCCATCTCCAAGAATCAAGTCCGGCCTGCCAGTTTCCCTGAATCCCTTCATAAATGTTGCCTTGCTTACACTCCAACAGCATATCAAGTCCTAAAAACCATTTGTCTCCATTCGCTCCTGTCTAACACGCTCACGCACGCTTGCTCGAAATCCAAGCCCCACACACACAAAACCTCCTTTACCCCCTCCCTCCAACCTTACCTAGGCTGACCCCTACCCCACCTTCCCTCCACTACAGATTTGTATACTCTCAAAGTCATTCTATTTTGTTCCATCCTCTCTACATGTCCAAACCATCTCAATAACCTCTCCTCAGCCCTCTGGATAATAGTTTTGGTAATCCCACACCTCCTCCTAATCTCCAAACTACGGATTCTCTGCATTATATTCACACCACACATTGCCCTCAGACATGACATCTCCACTACCTCTAGCCTTCTCCTTGTTGCAGCATTCACAACCCATGCCTCACACCCATACAAGAGCATTGGTATAACTATACTCTCATATATTTCCCTCTTTGCTTTCATGGATAAAGTTCTTTGTCTCCACAGACTCCTCAGTGCACCACTCACTGCTTTCCCCTCGTCACTTCTATGATTCACCTCAGCATTCATAGAACCATCTGCTGACATGTCCACTCCCAAATATCTGAACACATTCACCTCCTCCATGCTCTCTCCCTCCAATCTGATATCCAATCTTCCATTACCTAATTTTTTTGTTATCCTCATCACCTTACTCTTTCCTATATTCACTTTTATCTTCCTTCTTTTACATACCCTAACAAACTCATCAAGCAACCTCTGCAACTTCTCTTCAGAATCTCCCAAAAGCACAGTGTCATCAGCAAAGAGCAACTGTGACAACTCCCACTTTGTGTTAGATTCTTTATCTTTTAACCCCACACCTCTTGTCATCACCCAAGCATTCACTTCTCTTACAAGTCCATCTATAAATACAGTGGACCCCCGCTTAACGATCACCTCCAAATGCGACCAATTATGTAAGTGTATTTATGTAAGTGCGTTTGTACGTGTATGTTTGGGGGTCTGAAATGGACTATCTACTTCACAATATTCCTTATGGGAAAAAATTCGGTCAGTACTGGCACCTGAACATACTACTGGAATGAAAAAAGTTCGTTAACCGGGGGTCCACTGTATACTGAACAACCATAGTGACATCACACATCCATGTCTAAAGCCTACGTTTACTGGGAAATAATCTCCCTCTCGCCTACACACTCTAACCTGAACCTCACTATCCTCGTAAAAACTTTTCACCGGTTTCAATAACCTACCTCCTATTCCATACATTTGCAACATCTGCCACATTGCCCCCCCTATCATATACCTTTTCCAAATCCATAAATGCCACAAAAACCTCTTGACCCTCATCTAAATACTGCTCACTAATGTGTTTCACTGCAAACACTTGGTCTACACACCCGCTACCTTTCCTAAAGCCTCCTTGTTCATCTGCTATCCTGCTCTCTGTCTTACTCATAATTCTTTCAATAACAACTCTACCATACACTTTACCAGGTACAGTGGACCCCCGCATAACGATCACCTCCCAATGCGACCAATTATGTAAGTGTATTTATGTAAGTGCGTTTGTACGTGTATGTTTGGGAGTCTGAAATGGACTAATCTACTTCACAATATTCCTTATGGGAACAAATTAGGTCAGTACTGGCACCTGAACATACTTCTGGAATGAAAAAATATCGTTAACCGGGGGTCCACTGTATACTCAACAGACTTATTCCCCTATAATTTTTACACTCTCTTTTGTCCCCTTTGCCTTTATACAAAGGAACTATGCATACTCTCTGCCAATTGCTAGGTACCTTACCCTCTTCCATACATTTATTAAATAAAAACACTAACCACTCCAAAATTATATCCCCCACCTGCTTTTAACATTACTATCTTTATCCCATCAATCCCACTTGCTTTACCCCCTTTCGTTCTACTCACTGCCCCACACTCTTCCCCAACACTCACAACTGGTTCTTCCTCACTCCTATAAGATGTTATTCCTCCTTGCCCAATACATGAAATCACAGCTTCCCTATTTTCATCAGCGTTTAACAATTCCTCAAAACATTCCCTCCATCTTCCCAATACCTCTAACTCTCCGTTTAACTATTTTTAACTAACAAATCCATTCTTTCCCTAGGCTTTTTTAACTTATTAATCTCACTCCAAAACTTTTTCTTATTTTCAACAAAGTTTGTTGATAACATCTCACCCACTCTCTCATTTGATCTCTTTTTACATTGCTTCACCACTCTCTTAACATCTCTTTTTCTCTCCATATACTCCTCCTTCCTTGCATCACTTTGACTTTGTAAAAAACCCTCACATGCTACAGCTACAAAGTGATCTGATAAACATGTACTGAAGTCTACCCAACAGTCTTTTATCTAACAATACGTAGTCCAACAAACTACTGCCATTTCACCCTACATCATATCTTGTATACTTATTTATCCTCTTTTTCTTAAAATATGTTACCTATAACCAAACCCCATTCTATACAAAGTTCAATCAAATGCTCCCCATTTTCATTTACACCTGGCACCCCAAACCTACCTACCACACCCTCTCTAAATGCTTCTCCTACTTCAGTATTTAGGTCCCCTACCACAATTACTCCCTCACTTGGCTCAAAAGTTCCTACACACTCGCTTAACATCTCCCAAAAGCTCTCTCTCTCTCCTCTACACTCCTCTCTTCTCCAGGTGCATACACACTTATTATGGCCCACTTTTTGCATCTGACCCTTATTTTAATTCACATAATCCTTGAATTTACACATTTATATTCCCTCTTCTCTCTCCATAACTGATCCTTCAACATTATTGCTACCCCTTCCTTAGCTCTAACTCTCTCAGATACTCCTAACTTAATCCCATTTATTTCTCCCCACTAAAACTCCCCTACCCCCCTTCAGCTTTGTTTCACTTAGGGCTAGGACATCCAACTTCTTTTCATTTATAATCTTTGCAATCACTTCTTCCTTATCATCTGCACTACATCCATACACATTCAAACATCTCAATTTTATAAGGTTCTTCTTTTTCTTCTTTTTAGTAATTTATACAGGAGAAGGGGTTACTAGCCCATTGCTCCCGGCATCTAGTTGCCTCCTACAACACGCATAGCTTACGGAGGAAGAATTCTGTTCCACTTTCCCATGGAGATAAGCAGAAATATGCTTTCACAAATATAACTTCATTCTTACAAGACTTCAAGACTCAAATGTCTCTTAGACTAGAAAAAATATTTTATTAAATATTGTGTAGATATTAGCAAAGTTTTCACTACAAATATTCTGTATACTTTCTTAGGAGTATGTGTTATCTTTAAAAGCTTGCAGAGTTTTACCTAGTTGTAAGGAAACAATATCAGATAAAATATTTACTTCACAATGCAATTTTATAAATTCTAAGATCTAATAAGCATCTTCTTGCCTAATTTTCCTCATGAATAACTGAAGTGCAGTGAAGACTTGTCAATGCTCAATAAAAGCCCACACGGAGACAGAAACTCAGAACTTTAATTGATCTGTAGATTTGTACTACCTGGGATCTTTTTCATTTTTAATCCTTAGACTGTCACTCATATAAATATATGTGATTGGAGAAAGTGGTGCTTATGCAAATCTACACCTAAGACATGCACCCTTGAATACGCTGTGAGCGGCGAATTTTGGCCTAGACACAAAAGAATGGGTATGTGTAGTGGGTGTGCGCAGTATAAAAAAAAATATCTTTCTTCGTTCACTGCATGATGGGATCAGCTACCTCTGACCTTGTGCTTGGATTAAAATAGCACCTTTGGGGCATTTTCTAGGGTAGCTATCATCGTTCATTCGGCTGTTTCTTGGTGCCACAATTGATAGACTTGAAGACATACTAGTGAAATAGAAAAGAATTTGGTCAGTTGCAGGCTGGGAATGGCCTGCAACAGACTTTAAAATGATGGAAACAATTTTCTGGGTTTTTACTAGATCTGCTTTAATTGGTGGGATGAATTAAACCATGAGCAAGTATTCTTGATTATGGTCTATTAGATAAGCAATAGGGAATAACATAAATTTTTTGCACATGATGATGGATTCAAAATGGACAGCAAATGGAGAGGCCTGGGGACAAGAACATGAATGTGATGTGAACAGAGGTAATGTTGATTTGGCTGGAATACCTACAGTATTTGTTTTGGACTTTGTTTTTAAATTGGAATTTGTTGAAAATAGTGTTAAATTGGCCAAATTAACAATTTGTGGCCACTTTAGAGGGTAGTTCTGATAGTATGGAAGGCATACTAGTGAAATAGCCAGGAAATGGGTTGGTGTGAGCACTGGAATTAACCTAAAATAAGCCTCAAAATTAAAGAAATCAATGTTACATATGATGATCCCAACCTCCAACTTTGCACCTGAGCAATTCTTTATTTTTTATTTTTTTTAAGCACACCATGGCAAGGTGAACTGTAAAATAAGAAATGAAAGTTTCCCTCCTCTTTTCATTTACTAATTTATACAGGAAAGGAGTTACTAGTCCCTTGCTCCCAGCATTTAGTTGCCTCTTACGGCACGTATAGCTGACGGAGGAAGAATTCTGTTCCACTTACCCATGGAGATAAGCAGAAATGAACAAGAACTAGTAAGAAGACAGAAGAAAACCCAGAGGTGGCCTGGTGGTTAACGCTCTCGCTTCACACGGTGAGGGCCTGGGTTCGATTCCCAGCCAGAGTAGAAACATTGGACGTGTTTCTTTCCACCTGTTGTCTATGTTCCCCATCAGTAAAATGGGTACCTGGGTGTTAGTCGACTGGTGTGGGTCGCATCCTGGGACACTGACCTAAGGAGGCCTGGTCACAGACCGGGCCGCGGGGGCGTTGACCCCCGGAACTCTCTCCAGATAAACTCCAGATATGCTTGTACATGCATGTGTAGTGTGACCTAAGTGGAAGTAGAAGTTGCAAGACATACCTGAAATCTTGCATCTTTCTTCTTCTTTCTTTCAACAAACAGGCCGTATCCCACCTAGGCGGGGTGGCCCAAAAGCAAAAAAACAAAAGTTTCTCTTTTTACATTTAGTAATATATACAGGAGAAGGGGTTACTAGCCCCTTGCTCCTGGCATTTTAGTTGCCTCTTACGGCATGCATGGCTTACGGAGGAAGAATTCTGTTCCACTTCCCCATGGAGATAAGAGGAAATAAACAAGAACAAGAACTAGAAAGAAAATAGAAGAAAACCCAGAGGGGTATGTATGTATATATATGCTTGTACATGTATGTGTAATGTGACCTAAGTGTAAGTAGAAGTAGCAAGACGTATCTGAAACCTTGCATGTTTATGAGACAGAAAAAATACACCAGCAATCCTACCATCATGTAAAACAATTACAGGCTTCCATTTCACACTCACTTGGCAGGAGTTTTGAGACTCTCTGATTGCAGGTTCTATTCCCGCCCGTGGTATGGTTCGTTTGCAATCGTGTCATTACGATTTCGTGAGTCAGTAGAACCTCCCTGGGCTGCGGTAAAATACATATACAATATTAAATATAACTTACCTGGCTGCAGTATTTGTGCAGACAATGTATTCGATGTCATCTGTATATGGATTGAGGAAGGCAAATGCAGACGTTCGCAGCCACACCCACTCGCGGTTCTTTCCTCGGAAACGATACATGACAGACATCACTTGACCTTTCAGTTTTAACACTGAAAAAAAAAAGAAAAACAAATATAACATACTCTGAATTACACACAATTTAAATGTTTTGCTATTATAGAATTTTAACCTTTTAACTAGCATGAAATTATATACAAACTCTTGTGTGTAAAGAGGTGAATGAATTATTAGATTATAGCTCAGAATTTCAACATTAACCCCTAAATGGTCCAAATGTATATATACGTTCTCTTGTCCAGTGCCCCGAATATTTTTGAAAAAAAAAAAAAAAAAAAAAAAAAAAAAAAAAAAACTTTTTTTTCTCATTTTTATATTATTTTATATAATTTTTATGTTCTGATAATTACAATTTATAGTAGTTCTTGTCATTTCATAACCAAACTTTGTTCTGACATTAATATTAGGTACAAATTGTACTCAAATTGTCACAAACACACTGACAGGTGGAAATTTACACCTGCCTTGGTCATTTACTATTGTCTAGGAATATAAACAAAGTATTTATAGGTCCCAGCAATGTTTTGGATATGCGGGAGTATATAATAATAATAATAATAATAATAATAATAATAATAATAATAATAATAATAATAATAATAATAAAGAAGAAGAAGAAGAAGAAGAAGAAGAAGAAGAAGAAGAAGAAGAAGAAGAAGAAGAAGAAGAAGAAGAAGAAGAAGAAGAAGAAGAAGAAGAAGAAGAAGAAGAGAAGAAGAAGAAGAAGAAGAAGAAGAAGAAGAAGAAGAAGAAGAAGAAGAAGAAGAAGAAGAAGAAGAAGAAGAAGAAGAAGAAGAAGAAGAAGAAGAAGAAGAAGAAGAAGAAGAAGAAGAAGAAGAAGAAGAAGAAGAAAAGGTTCCTTGAAGCATGATGTAAGACAAGTGTCAGTCCACTGATAGTGCAGTGATAAGATAAGTGGTGACATTTGTTGAGCCCACAGGAGGGTGCAGTGATAAGATTAGTGGTGACATCTGATGAGCGTCAGCACTCGCTTTATTTGTTTTCACTGTTACACATAAACATGTCTGTCTGTCTGTCTGTCTAGCTCTCTGTTTATCTCTATCTCTGCTTATCTGTCTCTCTGTCTGCTTCTCTCTCTTTCCATCTCTTTCTCTGTCTCAGAGAGAGCCACTGTGAACCAACAGGTTTTCTTACACATTATATCTACAAGCAGAGTAGAGCACTTTGTCTGGATTTTTGGGTTATCCTAGGTAATTTACACATGTATAATTGTATTTAAGTGTACCTCTGAGACAGAGATAGAAAGAAATAGGCAGAGACAGAGATAGACATAAATACAGACAGACAGATGGAGATAGAGCCACCCATCCAGCCTGCCAAACACTTGTCACACATTCCAGAATTGTTTCTCTTTACTTAGAGTATAGGTTAAAAGACATTCTGAAAGGGTGTTGCACATGGGTTATTATCGAGGCTCTTGATATTTCCTCAACCACTTGTGGCCATATCCACCTCAAAGCCACTAAACTTGGGGTCAACATCACCTTCCTCTTAAAAGGGGAGTGTTAATACTACATGACATCAGTGAATCCTTGGTGTTTGCCGTGCTGTTTTCTCTAGCTGGCGTTCAATTTAACTGGCATTCTCACAAGGTACTAAGGGGTGGTATGAAGTGTGCGGTGTGTGAGAGAAAAAAAAAATTGAAAATTATGGAAATTGAGTTAATCATACAGAAAAATAGCTGAACTCTTTGGCAACACTCTGGTACAAAAATCAATGTTCTATGATGTTTCTACAAGGAATTATAATAATTTATATCACGTATGGTGACATCGATGGGCGTAGCACGTCTGCTCTCAGCCCATATATTTTTAGTAATTTTTTCCTTGTTTTTCTTGTTATTTCTTGCATTATTCTTTCTAATATAATAATTGACAATTTGGCATCATATGAAAGTAGGAAGAGCTTATCAGCCAATCAGGAACCATCTGGGAACATTGGTAGAATTCCCGCTCGCGAGAGAGGCAGGAGAAATTACGCTTATATCAACTCTATGGCTTATTTATCTATCAGAATTCATCTAATATGACATATTAAACACTATAAATAACATACAAACATGTTATATGCTCTATAATAAATAAAAAAGGCCATAATATGGCAAGTGTCCATCAGCAACATTCAAAATAAAATCATATCCCCTCTTTCCCATGTCATATTCTTTGGCCTTGAATGAGAGAAAACGAAGTTTTGAAGAGGCTAACTGCAGTAGAACACTAGTTTTATACTGAAAACACCGAAACAAACGCGATTTTCATGGAAAAAAAATCGAGACAGGGGGGAAGGGGGCGGAGGCATTCCAGGCCAATAACTCAGAAGTAAGTTACTGACTTATTTCACTTCACTGTGCCTTTACTACTTAATTAAGTGGAATAATATTCATAGGAATTGTAAAATAATGATTGCTCTTTTTTTTGGTGACATACTTTTGGAAATATTCCAAAGACTTTGGGATTTATATGGGAGTAAAGGGCAGATATTTTGCAACAGTCTAAGAACTTACAAACTTTATTTTTTTGTGGAATAAAGAAAAGAAAGATATTTAGAGGGAAGTGCATCACCAAAAAATCATATTAGCATTGTACTACTCTCAGTACCAAGTCCCCAAACAACCTTACATCATGCCATATAGGCCTATCATCCTGCCAAATGTCATTTTCAATAAATCATTCTACTTTCAGTAGTTGTTTGGGATATCTCATTGATAATTATTTTCAATAAACTGAGTAAACACTTTGTCTTGTCCACCAACAATGAAAGAAATCTTACGAGGAAAATAAAAGAAAATAAAGTTGTGCAACCGCCCCTAAGTGGTCCCAGATTTTTTTAATACTGCACACACCGAGTGTTAAGACCCATTTTATGCTGACCAGGCATCTCAGGCCAATCGAGCCAAATTTGGAGGCAGGAAAAAAAAAAATGTATACATTTGGAGCACTAGCAGTAAGAACGTGTATACATGTATATGTTTGGACTGTTTAGGGATTAAGTGGAGTGCCAAGATAAAGTAAAATGCTTATTCAGGCGAATTTCATCTTACTAGATATCAACAAAAGAACTTCTGTATATCATGTTAACAAGAATGGCAATATCACTATGAATGTCAAAGAACACAGGAAAAACTTCTAAAGTATTTTGAACTAAAAAATTATTTTACCTTGGTCAAAGCTTTCCTTCATGTGTGTTTGATCCTCAGGGTGGAAGAAGTCAAAACAGGGCTTGGCTAGTAGTTCCTGAGGTGAATACCCCAACACAGTCATCACACGCTGATCAACAAAGGTGAACTTTCCATCCATTGCATGACGAGATATGAACTCTGTTGTAGTAAAGATTAGGGTCACTATTTAAAAAAAAAAAAATTAAGAATGACTAATTAAATGAAGCTATAAAAAACAAATTAGTGAAATATGATCCTCCTGTTTCACTACAGGAATTGTGGAACAGTAAGATATGAAAAACTGAGAAGCAGTAACATGGTTAAAAGTGGGAAAATAACAATACAGGTGGATGGGATTATAAGAGAGATGGTGAAAGCAGGTGTGTATTAACCCTTTCACAGTTTCTGGTCAATGTCACTTATGTATATCCATGCATAAACTTTAGTAGCCTCAAATCTGATACATGAGGTCTGGTAGGCCTAGACACAAGAAAATGAGTCTGCATGGTCAGTATACAAAAAAATTGGGGCAACCACAATGCATTATGGGAAAGCTATCTAAGTTTACCATCAACCACCATGTCATGCCACTGCAGTACTCTCACTCCTCAGAAAATTATGCATTTTCTTTACTCCAGTAACAGTTCTGACAATAAAGATATAAATTCTGAGGACGAGCTCTTCAGTTTCAAGGATCAACTGACTGAAGGCGATAACGAAAATGATGGAAATAGCACTGACAATCCCGATGATGCACAACCATCCACCTTAGAGCTCAGTACACCCAAAATGCCCAAGCCATAAGTGAAGCTAATATTCTTCCCTCTGGTTTGGGCATAGATGTAAGCAGTAATGATGACAGTTATATTGACTTCAATTTCCTAGAAAGTGATGACTGATCAAATGATGATGATAATTATTTGCCTATGAAGCATCAATTTATATAGTGAAGCATGTGGTCTGGTAGTGTCCCTATTGCTATCCCCAAGGGACATGTCAGATTATAGGATTCCACCCCATCAATTGATAGTGAGAGTGATGATGGTGGTACTTCCACTTGCATGGGCAGCAGGCAATGCCAGCACTGAATGTGGCACTTGATGGTCAGACAAAGAGACATGCAGCCCAACAACCACCAACATCATCACCACAAGCAGCTGCAAATACTAAATAACTACCTCCAGACTGCAGCTAGGTTTGCCAGGAGGATAAACAATTTGTACCATCTACATCCATTTGATGACACACACAGCCAAATCGTACCCTCATGAATGATGTTGTTGAACTTGCTTTGTTTAAACTCAATTTCTATAAATTCCTGATGAAAATGATAGGTATGGAAATCAACAGATACTACAAGTAAACAAAGGCTAACACATTTCTTTCACCACAATCATGCTTAGGTCACATGTTTGTAAGCACAATATTACAGCATACTAGTCAGCTAACTGCCTTATATGTACCCTGGCCTCTGGTGATCTCATCCCAATCAATAAATTTATCCTGCTGCTGTGTATGCTACAGGTCTCCGACAAGATAAGGCAAAACAAGAACGACTTGTTATACAAGATTAGGAAGGATTTTATGCTTCTGAAAAATTTTATGCTTCTGAAATATATACCAAGCAAGAGGAAGTGCTCTGGCATAAAATTATTCATTTTTTGAGTGACTGTGAAAGTGGCTTGGTATTAGACCTGACTGTTAACACAGGAAGCAAAACATGGCAAGATACAAGTTGTTAGGTATCTCTGGAGATGTGACTAGGAACATGAGGGAACCATATCTTGGTAAGAGGCACATATTATGCACTGATAACTGGTATACAAGCCTCTTACTCGGTGTGTGGTACAGTGAGTGGAACACGAAAACATATGCCAAAGTTCAGCACAAGCATCAGTGGTTAAAGTGCTGGTTTTTCATGACAATGGCATTTCAGTGGCATGACAAACGTGATGTGACATTGTTGACAACCATTCATGGGCACAAATAAAAAACTGGAACGCTGCTGTGATTGACTGAACGAATAATATGCATGAGGTGGACAAGTGACGTGCAGATTGGGTTTACTGATTGTGTAAGGAGTTACAAGTGGTACACGAAATATGTACTTCTTCAAGTTTATTAACAATGCACTGCTGAATGCATACAATATGTACCAGTTCTGGACTGGAAACAGACTGCCATATGCCAACTTCTGTTTGTCTATCAATGGACAAATATTACAGAAATACCAGGTCACACCACCAGCACAATACATGCTCCACTGTACTGATCACCAAATACCTTCTCATTTGAAGCATGGTGATCACTTTCTCATCACAGTTCCTGCTACAAACAAAGACTTTGTAAATGGTCCAAGTCAGACCGAAATGTCATTGTAAGCTCCTCTTTCCTATGTGCAGGTTATCTGAATGAGAAGAAATGGACACTGAAGAGATGTTAGGAATGTGCGCATATGTCTAGGTGGCCAATAAACCACAGAGATACAAGTTTTGTGTAGAGAATGTAAAACACCACTGCATATGAAGCCATGTTTTAGGAACATCCACAGACTGCAAAACTTCTAGGAAGGTGGGGTAGAGGTCATCCAAGGAAAGGATGGAGGGAGGGGGTAAGGTGGTTTTGTGTGCAAGGGGACTGGATATACAGCAGGCATGCATGAGTGTGTTAGGAGTGGAGACATATGGTTTTTGGGACTTCATGAGTTGCTGGAGTGTGAGTAAGGTAGTATTTTGTGATGGGATTCTGGGAAACCAGTTGGCTGGACTTGAGCCCTGGAGATGAAAAATACAATGCTTGTGCTCTAAAAGAGTGTGTTAACCCTTTCAGGGTCCAGACCCACAATCTGAAACTTGTCCACAGGGTCCAAGAATTTTCAAAAAAAAAAATTTATTATATTTTCTTATGAAATGGTAGAGAATCTTTTTCTGAAGGTAATAAAACAAAAAGTACAAAATTTGATGGAAAATTGACAAAATTATGCTATCGCGAATTTTGCTGTGTCAACAATATTTATGCACTGGCAATTTGCCCAACTGGAGTCCTATTTTAGGCCAATTACATTGTTCCAGTAGACCAAATTCTTAGTTATGTTGCTAGTATGCCTTCCATTTTATTTACTGAGCAAAATTTCATTTCAACTACCCAATAATGTGATCAGAAATTGGTAATTTAGCTAATTTCACAAAATTTTCGAAATAGGGTCCAGAATAAACAATGCAGGCATTCCTGGAACTAAAATAACATTTCCTCTGTTCATTAGTTACATTCCCAGGTTTACACATGAATTCCATTTTTAATTTTTATTCACACAAAAAATAGAAGATTTGCTGTTATGCATTATTGTAATGATTGTATAAGTAATGTCAGCACATTCGTGAACACATATTAGACCTACTCTGGAATATCGGGAAAATCGAATATTTCTGCTACTTTGAGCTCAATTTCAAGCTCTTTTTAGTCCTCAATCCAATCAAAATCACTTTTATTTCTGTAATATATATTCTGTTCTATCAATTCAGACCAAGAAACCATGAATACAACCAGAAAAACCATACGAAAATACACTACAAAGTCACTGTTTTAAACCAAAAACACGGTCAGTTTTTTTCTCATTATGCACTGTGTGCTGCAGGATGTTTTTTTATATAGTGCACAGTTATCACACAGACCCATTCTCTCATATCTAGGCCCAAATTTACTGCTGAGTGAGCTGAGCTTGTGGTATAGTTCTATGGGATTGACCCAGAGTTTAAAACCGTAAAACCATGGCACTGACCCTCAAGGGAGAAAAAAAAAAAGTGTTAAACCATTAGGAAAGTGAAGCAAATGGATGTGTGTGTTTTACCATTTTTGTATAATATTCTTTTATAATCAATATGCTATTGACACTGTGACTACTGTGTTGTATACAAAAGCTAACCATTAGGATAATGGACATGATTTGAGTGTCACAGCCCACCAGAGTCAGGTGACATTATTAAAAATCAGAAAACACAGGGAAAAAAATGGAAAAATAGTAAATTTTAAACTATGGCTGGCACAGCAATCAGATCAATAACCTTCGACTTCATTGCCTTCATATTTCAGAAAGTACTGATGGGAAATTCTTTATTTCATTACAGAGAAAAATAGGCTTTTTTTTTTTTTTAAATTGACACCAACAGCACTATTAATTTTGTGGGTCACAACAGTAAAAGGATAAAGTGTTAAAGTACAGTATAAGGGAAATGTGCCTAAGAAGCAGACAAGGACTTGTATGGCTCCTTAACCCTTTGACTACTGCAACCCCAAATCCTTAAGTGTCTCTTGGTGTCAAAAAATTTTTGGAAAAAAAAAAAAAAAATTTTCTTATGAAATGATAGAGAATCTTTTCCCGATGGTAATGACACCAAAGGTATGAAATTTAATCAAAAACTTATGGAATCACGCTCCTGCGAAGTTAGTGATCTCGGCGATATACTATATGCATTGGCGATTTTGCCGACTTTGAGCCCTATTTTCAGCCAATTCCGTTGTTCCAGTCGACCAAACTCATGGCTATTTCTTTAGAACTCCATTTTTTCTATCAACTGAGTACAAGAAACCATCCATTTACCGATTTCAACTACCCAATAAAGTGGTCAGAAATTGGCAATTTGGCCAATTTCACACAAATTAAACAAGATGCCAATTTCAAAATAGGGTCCAGAATAAACAATGCAGACATTCTTGGCACTAAAATAACACATCCTGTGTTCATTAGTCACATCTCCAGGCCTCTCTTATATTACTCTTGCTTTCTATTTTGATTTTTTATTCACACAAAAAATAGAAGATTTACTGTTATGCAGATTACTGTATTATTGTAAAAATGGTACAAATAATATCAGTGCACTAGTGAAAGAATATTAGACCCCCCAGTTGACGTGTATTGAATGTGTGGTGTGATTTGTACTCTTGAACATTGGTAAAAATCGAACATTTCCGCTACTTTGAGCTCAATTTCAAGGTCATTTTCATCACGAAACTTAAATAAAATCTATTTCTGTAATATGTTTTCCATTCTATCAAGTGGAACCAAGAAAATGAGAATATAACCATAAATACTAAAGGAAAATACACCTCAAAGTCAGTGTTTTAATCCAAAAACACGGTCTGAGCTTTTTTTTCTCTCATTA